CTTCAGTAGCAGTAAAGCTCTGCTGGATGAAATACAATTGCCCCTGGTCTATTTTGGGGGGGAATCCTGCAACGTGTTTAAGTTTTTACTCTGCTGACTATACATTGGAATCTACTCTGGATCAATACTGAGTAGACTTTAAATGACAGGAATGTCCATCTTTTCATGGGCATGGCAAAATCTATTCATTTTCAGAGATGGAGGGCTTTCCATTATGAGCGGTTATGGCCAAAGGGTTCCATTTCCTTTCCTTCAAAGAACAACAACGCTTTGACACTGCTTCAAAAGCAACAGGGCTACAAGGAGCAGTTTGGCAGCATAACGATGTCCTGTGGTCCAGTGGGAGCAATGCTGCATCATCATGTAGCACCAGGGGCATTGTGGGGGGAGAAAGGTAGATGCCCCCACTGGCCAGGACATGGTGCCATTTCCATTGGGCCATTGTGTAGGAGGACATTGCAACCACTTCCAGCTTGGTGATTACAGTTTTGCCACTGCTTCCAAGTGGCAAGGGAATAACTAGAATCCTCCACTGTCTCTTCTCACAATGGAAGGCCCCCAGCTGTCCTCAAATGAACAGAATTAATAAAAAATGGCTGCACGTAAGGGAGGGTCATCTTAGTGCTATTTCCTACATAAGGGTGCTTAAAGAGGTCAATTTAAATTGAATACTGCTGCTGCAAATACAGTATTTCCAAGTATTGCTGGCATTCACCACATGGTGCTAAGGAATCGAATGGTTTGCTTGAATGACTCATACACTGCGATAATAATTGATAATATGGTGTTGATTAGTGTTTTTGTGCAACAATACAAACCACAACTTGAGCTGTTGATATTTCAAAAACAATGGCTGCTCTTTGGGATGCATGAATTATCTCTACAAAGAACATAAAGATCCAATCTGGTCAGCCCACATCTGAAAACACTAAGAAAAGGTCATCTTTGCCAGCAACAACTCCTTGTGCAATAATCTTTCTTGGCACTGGATTTTCATCTTTTGAACTCTATGCATCTGACTGTCTGGGTCTTATTTTTACATCATAGATACCAGGTGGTGGTGGTACTTGATTTGCACTTTTTATTTATTTCTTAAACTTATTAGATAGTTGGTGTTTTTTTTACTAAAACTCACAGCAACTTACAGAGAAAAATAAACAAACACATACATCAAAACCAGCATAAACCAAAAACAAAGCAAAACAGAAAACTATAAAATGCAATCATATTTTTAAAAGGCAAGATTAAAATATCCCACCCCCTCAAGAAGTCCAAGGATAATTAAAAGCCAAAGTATATCCAATTGTACTTAATTATATTCGATTGAACTTAACTTACTGAGACAACATCAGTTGCCTTGCTTTCATATCAAATCTGAAAAACCTGATTTGCATATACCAAGCGTTTTCTAAATGGTATATTTTATGCCAGGCCAACTTTAGGTAAAATTCATAAAATTTATACCAAGCTTCTATTATTTCATCCTGTCAAATATTTTTAATTTGATCTCTGTACACCTGCTGTAACAGATGAGATGGAGAATCACAGAATGGTCACCAATTATTGGGTAGCGAGATGTCGGAAGATAACCATCAAACCAGTAAGCTACTGTGGATCAGGGGACAGATCTGCATGAATATACCATTGATCCAAGCACCATAAACATTTATCTAAACACCATATGTGCCAGAAGAACTATAAAAATGGATATTAGCAATGCAGGTGACTCCATTCATTCATTTCTCCATTCATTTTTGAATGGAGCCATTCATTTTCTGGAAGCCATTCATTGTTGTGCTCTACTCTTCTTACAAGGAGTTCAGCCTGGTGCACCGGGTTCAGCCCCCTACTTTATCCCCACAACAACCCTGTGAGGTTGATTAGTTTGAGAGTTGTCAGGGGAAAAACTAAGAGGACCCAAGAACCGAAAGAGGAAAAATCCACTGTTTTCAATAGGAATTTCAGACAAAAGGTGAATAGTACACAGTGCCCAGGATTTTGATTCATTGTTCAAGAAATCCAATGTTACTGCAAATCTGTGCTCTCAAGCATTAAAGATTTATCATATTCCTTGGTGCTCAAAATATTAGAAGCTCATGAATCTTACATCATCTTACATTTTCCACTAACTTTGCCAGCAACAACTCAGTGTATCATTTATAAATAACTTCAAAAGAAATAGTTGAGCTGACCTGATTGTTCTTGGCCCATAATGAAATTGGTGATGGACTTTTATAAAGATCCCATTATTGAATAGTTACACTTGGCTTGTTTATAAGGGAATGTGGAGCTCTTTGGGAAGACTTACAGTGGTTCTTTTACTTTGTCACATCCAGTGAATGTTTTATGACTCATGCTTTTTCCAAGGAAAAAAAAAATCTATATCTAGATTATCCTCAAGCCCTAGTGTGCATTATAGCCCTGATAGTTCTTCTTCAGCTCAGATTGCGATTTCAAGCTGGAAAAATACTCATTGCCTGTGCCACTTCTACCATCCCACCAATTAATAAATAAATAAAATTAGACTTCTGACTCAGACCTGGAGAAGTCACTGTTATTAATAACTTTATTATGATACATGCTTTGTGGTTGTCAGGGAACTGCCATCAGTCCTGGAGGGAGAGCGCAAAAGCCAGAGGGATTCCAGAGAGCGTCCAGGGATCGGGAGGAGCAGCCCATCTTCTGGGGAAGAGAATCAGCGTAGCACCAGTGGAGAAGGGGTGCAGCTGGGGGAAGTGGTGAGGCGGTCTCATGACTCGTTGCCTGGGACCAGCGGGGAGAGTAGGGGTCCTCCATTGCCCACGCCCTCCCTGCGCAGAAGGCTTTCGCACAGAGAGGGTAGGCGGAGACTAGGCGTCAAAGAGCTTCTTTGCTGGAAGAAGTTTAAGAAACGCCCACTCACGGATTTTGCCAGCGACTGAGTCAGCCACGGGTGAGTGGCGGTCCGGACAGATAAGGTTCACTTTGGCAGCCCAGCCGGGTGTTTGCACCCAGCTAGGGAGATAGGTACCTGCTTACGCACGAGCAACCCCTTAGAAACCACTACAGTGGTTTAAGGAGAGATGTGCACAAATTTGGAGCAATTTTGCATTACATGCAGACTAAACTCTGAAAATAGAGCACAACTTTCCATAACTAACATTCAAATATTAATCCGACCTAATGACTTGGGAAGTCCAAGATAACCAAATGTGTTTCTGACACATTGTGTTCTGTAGCCTGGGCAGTGTGGAATATGGAAGGTTGAATTTACAGCAGAATGGTGGGTCAGAATGTTAGGAAATGCTGATATATTCCAGCACTGGTTTCTTCTGTCTGTCTACTTCATATAGAAGGAAAATGTTTTTCAATCTACAGGATTGCACATGAGACTAAAGCAAATGATATGAGGATGTGTCAGAACTCTTTTCAAATGTGAGGGAGAAATAGCTTGGCTTATTAATAATGAAACCCATGAAACTGTAGTGAAGGAAGCTGCTGATCACCTGAGACATTATTTCATATTGAAGCAAGGAAATACAAAAATAATGGTGCATATCGGTGGGAAAGGAATGGCTTAGAGTGATATTTCTAAGCTTGCAGTAATAAGCGGGCTCTAGTAATTTTTCCTGATAGGTAGATCTATTGATTCAGCTATGATTTAGTGCTGCTGTAGGTAAATCAGTAAATTCACTTCACCGTGTAAAATGGTATGCTATTTTCTGTACAACACCGACAAAGAGATAAAGCATAAAGAGAAGAGTTACTGCTCAAATGTTTTCAAATAGATGAAATAAAATATTTGATCTTCAGAATTCTTTCCTTGCTTTCCTATAAAAATATTTAGGGCAGAAATTTTTAATATATCCTGAATTTTATATGAAAACACTATAAAAGTTTTAAAAAATGGTTCCAACATCAGCCACTGAAATCCATTTTAAAGGACCACAGCTAAAAATGGCAGCTGGAAACAATGCATTTCTTGCTTATCTGCTGAAAGGTGAGCAGTCAAGGAGCCAGATGCATTTCTACCTTTACCAGAGCTGTTCCAGCATCTTAGCACCACAACTGAAAAGGCTCTGTCTCTCATACCTATCCACCATACGGGGAACTTGGGGCAGAGACTGAGAATTAAACTAGGAGTCACCATCAATGCTGTTGGGTCAGTGGACACATTTGCCATCCCAATCAATGGAATACAGGAACCTACATCAACCACTACATCTGCACTCACAGAGAGAATCTCTTTGCACCTGTCCTCTGTTCAGAAATGAAGGGAAGGTGGATGTCCTATCTTGGTAAGAAATGAAATGGTGGCGTGTCTGAGGGACCATGCTCAGTGCAGGAAAGGTCAAGCTAGTGCAAACAGGAACTGAGCTGGAAGAGTGAACAGTTTCTGGTGCATAATGGATTTTGGAGTGGGATATATATTGAGATATTCTGGGGTGCCATAGGAGGTCCTTGCAGGCATGATGGTTCCCCCAGGCACTGCCTTGGTTAACCCTTGAATTAGACTCTGAGAACTGAGCAGATTCCTATGGGAGGAGGCACTCCTTAAAGGTATTCTGGTTCAAAGCCATTTAGAACCAGCATTTTAAATTAATTCAGGAAGCAAATAGGTAATGATTGCAGATTGTCATATTGGTGTTATGCATTCTCATCCACATGCTCCAATTAACATCCTGGCAGCTAGATTCTATACTAATTGCAGTTTCTGAATTGTCTTCGGAGGCATGGTTTCAAGTTGGCTTGCTTCAGATAAACAAGAGTTAACATTAACCACAGTTTGCTGGTTTGGATTGGGCAACAAACAATGGTTAAACAAAAATAGACACAAAACTTTCCTTGCAGACATTCAGGAAAAGGGGAAGGACCAGGGATTGCCTAGGCTCATTTTTGTCACACTAAAATATAGTTTAGCATGACTCCTGAACATGAACATTGTGTGTTGGTCAGAGAATTGTAGAGTTGGAAGGGACCACGAGGATCATCTAGTCCAACTTCACAATGCAGGAATCTTTTGTCCGATGTGAAGCTCAGACTCATGCCCCTGAGATCAAGAGTCTCATGCTCTACCAACTAAGCTATAGTATCTGGGTTTTCCATCATAATATAGTTATTGAAGTAGTGAGCAATAACTTGTGATGTTCCTCTTCCCATGCTGACTTTCACTCACTGGATGCAAATTAATGTAGACAGCTATTAAATGCCAGGAAACATTTACCATATGTTTAATATCACAAAATCTGTCACTTATTTTTTAATCTGTTTGCCAAATCCAAAGCAAATATAATAATGCAGCATAGTTAGTAAAAAGAAATGTAATTAAATGCAATGCATGATCACAGATCTGTTTTAACTTCTCTGTGTTACCCATTTTGGTTCATAGCCTAATGAGGTCTTGTCTTCACTGTAACAATTCATACATGGGTGAATTTAATTTTGACTCCAATTATTTATTAGCACGTTAGTGACGGCCCATTGTGTCCCATGTAATTAGCCATGCAACAGTTGCTAGGCCAAGGCTCAATCCCCTGAGCTCATGCCAGCATAGTGGAGCTTCAACAGAATGTGAAAGAAGCTTGATTATAAAAATAGCATTCTAATCTCTTGACAGTTCATATTCTATTGGCAGATACCCTCAGATGCTATGCTAATAAAAGCTGCAGTCTTGCATTTGGTGCATAATAAGAAGGTTGGCTATGAAATCTGTGGCAGTTTAGCCTTTTATTTTAAATGATCTTTCTTTGGCAAATGTGAAAGCACTCAGCCTATGGAAACAGCCTCAGAGTGGCTTTATGTGTGTGTTACCACGTCATACCCCCCCATACACAATGTTCCCCATTTGGTCTGAGCACACATGATGGGTTTGGATAGCAGGTTTGGATCTGGTCAGTGCATGGATGAAAGACAACCCTTTTGCCACCTTGGGTTCCATGATGGAATAAAGGCTATGGATAGTCTCTCCAAATTGCACCATTGTCAGCTTCTGATCTGTATCCTCCAACCCTCCCCCCTACTGTTCTTTGCCTCCCATCAGTTGGTGTATAAGGTGGCCACCTCACTCTGCCTAATGGTAGGGTGGGACCTGCTGAGAAGGTAGAAGCACTTCTGAGAGAAAACAAAATTCTGAAAATGTTCTAGACTCCAGGCAGGAACACAACCTTCCAAAAGTTCCATTCTTCATCAAAGGGACATAGCTTAAATTGGTCTTTAGCACATTTAGTGCTATATAAGGTGCAGCTCTTCTATGGGAGCTTTAGAACAAAATACGTGCTTGAGAATATCTGCTTTATCATGTATGGACAACTCCCTTCCTTGACTATTGGATCTCTACCACATTTAGCCCAGGCCTTCGACATTGTGTCATCACTGTCTGCTGCCTCTGGTTTCTCTCTGTGTGCCTTCTGTTTGCCACCATGGCTGCTACCTTGCCCTATGGGCTTTGATTGACTGAAAGTGGACACTAAGAGACAAGGGCCTCTTACCTATAAACATTATATTTTCAGTGCCATCAAGATACCTTGTGCTGGGATTAAGAAATCCATTCTCATTTTTCTGTTATTAGACCTCTTCTGCACAATCCAAGCAGAATATGCATTCAGCATCAATGCCTATCACAGACATTCATTTCTTTGTGTGAATTATTTAATCAAAGGAAAAAGGAAGATATGTTAGAAGAGGGGGAGGCCTGGGCTCTAAACTGGTTGAAATCCATTAGCCCAAATTCCAAAAAGTGCGGAATAAACACATGGAAACACATATTCAATGAAGCCATGCTTCATTTAGTTATAACCTCTGCATTCAGGTTATATCTGATCTAGAGAACTGGAATTGCCCATTGGCAAGTGTTTTTTCTAGATTGGTATCCTGACATGTGCCTTTATAGGATGTTTAGGGGCTATTTTTAAAAATTACATGGCCAGAAGAAGTTTGACAGGTACAGCTTCTGTTGTCACTGCTGCGCTGTCATTATGGAAGCTGTTCTTTCCCACTGTCATGCAACTATTTAAGGCAGAGGTCATCTTTGAGTCAGAAGCTGTCAACCTTAGCCATGAATCTTTTTGTCAAGAGTGGATCTCAGTGCCCTACACGAGCCTTGCATTTGGCATCCCAGAGCATTAATTGCTTTTGAAACTCCAAGTTCAGGTCAAATTAATGATATTCAAATTAATTCATGTTTTGCAAATTACTCAAGTGTCCTTAACTGTTGATTTATTTATTTATTTATTTATTTAAAAAAAGAAAGTTCAGTAATTACTAAGATCCCATTCTGTTCACTTGACATGGGTCACAGTGAAAAGAAAAAGTTGCTTGTATACACTGAGGAAAAATGTGTCTAAAACATTTGCAACATACAGTATATTTAAAGTACTACTAGTAGTCATGGCTTTTCCCAAAGTCTCCTGGGAGCTGTAGTTTGTTAAAGGTGCTGAGAGTTGTAAGGAGACCCCCTATTCCCCTCCCAGAGCTACGGTCCTCCACCCACCACCCACATGCCCTAGTGGCCCTCAGTCATTCATGTAGAATGAGAAGCAAGATATAAAAGTGATACTTCTTGTCCCAGAGTTTTAGCCTTACAACTTGCCAAGCATCTCCTGGCCCTGCATGAAAGCTCTCCTCCAAGCAGTCCATTGACCATGTTTGCTTTCACCCCCAGCAGCTGATAGCCTTGTGACTAAGTCAGTGGTTCTCAACCTGTGGGTCCCCAGATGTTGTTGGACTACAACTCCCATCATCCCTGAGCTCTGGCCTTGCTAGCTAGGGGTGATGGGAGTTGTAGTTCAACAACATCTGGGGGACCCACAGGTTGAGAAAGGCTGGACTAAGAGATTTTGCAGTCTCTGCAGCTTGGCTGGAAGAACTGTTCGTCAAGGGGGAAGTCCCTCCTCCTGAACAGAATCCAGGGGAGAGAATGGCAGTTGGGAATTGTCAGTTGGGGAAAATGGCGCTCTCCATGTGTGTGATATATATATATAGGTTATTACAAAGGTTGAGTGCCACTCCCACTCTCTGCTGAGATGTAGCAATATCCCAGGAGTTCCAGGCTCTCAGCCATGGCCTTTCTATGGCCGCTGCCACCAGCCTCCTCCCTTGGGCAGCTCATAGTAGCTGCTGGAGAGCAGGTGAAGAGGAGGAAAGGCTGCCGCTACTGAGGCACAGCCCCACATGATGTCCTCAGATACTCTTAAGACATTTGGGGCAAGCAGAGAGCACGGCTGCCCTGGGCAGGAAGAAAGGGGGAGTGGAGCGGTGCAGAGGACAGCACAAGGAATACTGATTTTTTAAAATAAAATAAAAAATATTATGTGTCCATATCTAATATTGCCCCTTTCTAAAATTTATTTATTGGTGTGTGTTTTTCCTTCCGTAAAACTACCAAGAACACAATAAAATAAATAAAATCATGATTAAGGGTTTTTCTCAGGATAGTGGGGGCTTGTGTGCTGTGTTCCGCTGGTGCTGTGGCAGCGGCATTTGTCCTTCTTTTAATAGGAATTGTTGTGTGTTTGTGTGTAAAAATAGGGGGTTGTGTGGGGGGGTCAGCATAATTCATGCTGTTCCCTGGCTTCTTTCTGCTCCGATCAGAAACCTCCATTTTCTTGGGAGAGAATTTGGTATTAACAAATGTCTTAAGAGTATCTGAGGACCAAGATAAGCTGCCCTCAAAAGATGTCCACATTTTACCTCCTCTACAGTTAAAATTCTTCTCCAGTTTTATTTCTCATACCTGGTCAAACCAGATAAGAAAATACACACATGAAATTTATATTTTAAAAAATAATGACAAATTGCACAACGTGCTTCCCGGTTTAACATGATGCGTTTTAATAGGGAAAAACCCTAGAATTTTAGATGACTGTATATACCCTAGTTCATGAATGACTTTTCAGCAAAGTATATCATGAAATGTTGAAGAAATAGGTTGCATTTTCTCCTGCCATGCTTGAAGATTAATAATCCAAATGATAGAAAGACATCTGTGACCCCATTATATAAAGCAGATGTGGAAATGGATGGCATTTCTTATTTTAATAACTTTATTTATAATGTAGATAGACAAGTGAAATGTTTTCTTTCTCTGTGAGGTGAATGTAGACACTATTATCAACTTCAGAAACACTGAGCCAACAAACACCTCTGTGTGACAAAAGGCTGCTGCCAGTCAGTGCAAACAATACTGAGATAGATGGACCAGTGGTCTGATTCAGTAGAAACTAGCTTCCTCAGGCTCAGTGCATTCACAATGTGATCGTATACAATGTGTTTGGGAGAAAGGTGGGATAAAAAATGGTAAAGGGACACCTGACCATTAGGTCCAGTCGTGGCCGACTCTGGGGTTGCAGCACTCATCTCGCTTTATTGGCCGAGGGAGCCAGCATACAGCTTCCGGGTCATGTGGCCAGCATGACTAAGCCGCTTCTGGCGAACCAGAGCAGCGCACGGAAACGCTGTTTACCTTCTCGCCGGAGCAGTACCTATTTTCTACTTGCACTTTGACATGCTTTCGAACTGCTAAGTTGGCAGGAGCTGGGACCAAGCAACGGGAGCTCACCCCGTCACAGGGATTTGAACCGCCAACCTTCTGATCGGCAAGTCCTAGGCTCAGTGGTTTAGAGCACAGCGCCACCCACGTCCCTTGAAAGGTGGGATACAAATACCTTAAAATCACAGTTGCGATCATAATAATATAACATACACGGAGACCCACAAAGACGTAAGTGTAGCTTACCTCAAAAGTGGAGAGAGGTAAGAATTATGCACATCCAGCTGATGACACAAAGCTCTACTTCTCCTTCACATCTGCAGGCATCGCAGTGGAAGTGCTGGACCAATGTCTTGCCTCAGTAATGGACTGGGTGAGAGCCAACAAACTGAAGCTCAATCCAAATAAGATGGAGGCACTAGGGTGGTTCCCTAGACCAGATGGGTGGGAGGTTGCCTGCTTTTGATGGGGCTACACTCCCTCTGAAGGAGCAGGTACGTAGCTTTGGGGTGCTCCTGGAATCTTTGCTGTCACTTGAGGCTCAAGTGGCCTAAATGGCAATGAGTGCCTTCCGTCAGCTTTGGCTGGCGGCCCACCTGTGTCTCTATCTGG